GCAAAAGCAGCGACTTTGCCGTATCGACTCATTCTTTCAACCTTAGGGGACTCAAAGAAAAGAAGTGTACCTGGTAATACAAATCGGAGTTTGAAGAAGGAGAAGGAGTCCTCGACCCGCAACGGAAACACTCCTAAGGAAGGCCTCCGGAAGTCGAATGAGCGGGAGTGCAGTTGCTCCTCTTGTTCCTGCGGATAGGTCGGGCAGAGCGGCGCCTTTCATGGAAGAGAGAGTCCATGGCAGAGGTACGAGCGAGAAAGGCGGCCAGAGCGCTCTTCTCCTGCTCCTGACCCGTCATGGCACGATCAAAGCATGGCTGTTCATGTAAGAAGAAGACTATAAGAAGAATGGACTTTGATAGCCACTTTCTAGGCCGGTGAAAGGATGTATCTTTCTTTTCCTGCGAGGAGCAACTCTCCTTGTCCTGGAGGCTCTCCGGCCGGCCAGTTCGTCGAGAGCCCATCCACTGCAAAGACCATATGTAAGCACACCTGTACACCTACGGCTTCACTCTGATCCCGGCCTCCACTTCCAAGGGCAAGGAAGAAAAGCAGCATAACCCAGAACGGAACTTGATTCCTTGTGAGAGAGTCCCGCCTTCCGCCTCCGTCTTCTAGTCTGGTCTTTCCTATTGGTGTTGTTCCATCGGGGATTCAGTGTTCCATGCATCGATACCAGTTAAGAAGAACTCGTCCATCACCCATGAGATAGGGATCTCGTAGGAAATATATATATAGGCCAATCCAGCAAAGTTCGAATATCCCTTGTTTTCCTTAGTCAATGAAATGCTCTGCTTCTGCGCCTCTTCATACTTTTCGCTAGCTAAGCGAGCCCTTCTTGGGAGACCTCTAGATCCCTGCCCTGCGTGTTCCATTCTAGCTACCGGGGTGTTCTTTTTCTTCTCATACGAGATTTCGAAATAAGGTTCAAGATCGGCCACTGAAGGGGAACTAATCAAACTATGGATTTCTCTTATACTTAGCTAAACGACTAAACGAATAGGGTCATCGCTAGTAATCAACTGCTTGTTTTCTTTTAGGCTAGCCTATCTAAAGAGTGAAACTCGTACCTCCCGAAGCAACTCGTATCTTTGGATCAACAGGCCAACATGGGATTGAACTGGATTGGCCCAATAGATCAATCGCACGAGAACCAACCCTCATGTGTGATTCCCTGAAAAGGGTACCAAACTAGCTTTCTATATGAAATTTGCCTTGTAGAGCTTCCCAAAGGATTTCAATCCACCAAAGGGACTATTCAAAGCGTCCTCTACTTCGTAGGGTAATCACCAGACTAACCAATAAGGTTCTTCGTTATCCATCTTTCACTAGTGAGCTTCTCCGGTGAAACGGCAAAGTCGCTTCTTAGGTGAAACTGCTTTGTAGTGGCTACGCTGGGATGATTCCCCGTTTGGAAACGAGATACGGGTGTAGATATGTCGACCGGTTGTCACTCAGTCCCAGGGTGTTGACTCGATACTGGTGTTTTAGGCTACGAGTCTTGACTGTTACCCGGTATAGAGTAAAATCATATCACAGTTCCGATCAAAAGAGGAAGAGTCGTTCTATTCCCCAGTTGCAACTCAGTCACAATGCCTTGGGCCGCAGCTTCCCTGCGATATACTTTTCATAGTCCAAGGGTGGGTTGAAAATCCGATCTTTTGCCTATTCGTTTTCGTTTAGAGCTCGGGAATCGATGAAACGGTCTTTGTGAATATCCCAATTAGTGTATACAGTCAAACAATGTATATAGTCAATCTATAAATGAGTGTACAGTCATGAATACAGTGAGTCGATCAATGTGTATTCTATCAAACAATCAGTGTGAAGAGAACGGGGAATCGATTCATTCATCACTGGGCTGTGCGGTGTGAACGTGGGGAGTATGATTGGTTTAGTAAGCACCAACAAATTGGGGATTGAAGTGTAGGACCGGTTAGGGTGTTGAGTTGATACTGGTTTAGTAGCTATACGAGGATTTCCCACGGCAAAGTCGCTTTAGACAGGTTGGTTTTCGTCGACTCCGACCTTTTCCGATATAGCTTGTAGGTTAGCGTTTAGTCGATACAGAGTTTCCGGTTAGGCGAGTTAGACGGTTTTCCGCCCTTAGCCACACCTCTGCTTTCTCGTTCACTGCCTTTCGCTTCGGCGGCTGCGTTTTTCGGGTTTAGTCGACGGGTTTCCGCACCGGTGGCTGCCTCGGATGAGACCCTTTGCCTTACCCTGGAACTCTATAGTTCCCCTCTCACCCGGCTTAATATCAGGATTTATTACCAGAAAAGAATCGGCTATTGAGTAGGCACTCGTAGCAGCAAGATAGGTTGTCTTTGCTCTGTCCCTGAGTCATGTCCTAAGAGAATGATAGACTTACCTATTCATAGCCTTAGCAGTAGCTTCATCGACTACCAAAAGGCCGGAGCAGGATCCGAAGCGGTGTCTATTTCATCATACCAGTTTCATTTCAGAGCAGTAGAAGGCCCATTGGTCACGCTTCTCTACGCTTCCTTTCAATATGCAAAATGGAAACCTTCATTGCTTTGTCGGGAAGTTTGTCCTTGGCATACGCCTTCTTGCGCTTAGAATGACTGATCTGAGTATGCCTTTGTCTAGTCGATAGTCTGGTAGTGCGCGTCTCTCTGTATCGGATGTTCCTATTTAGAGAGTCGTCTTCCTCTGAGAGTGGAGTTCGCGGAGACTTCACTGAAGGTCCTGAAGCAGGATAGCCTAATTGCGGTTGACGATGTGGTCGCTTTAGTTTCATGTCCGCCTTGCTTGCCATAGCCTTTATATGATATGGATCGGGTTTGCCCACTGCTTCATCTGCAGGTGCTGGTACATCTATGTTGTCAGTTCCTTGATTCTTACAAGAAGAAGTTTTTAGATCCGATTTATCCTTACGAGATTTTTCGCAATGAATAATTTAGCTACAACTCTGTATAGACTAAACGAACAACCGGGGAAGCTGCAGTCGTCCTATATGCGCTGCAGCTACAAAGCACCTATTTCTGAGGGACACAGGGGACAACCGGTGCATGGGGAAGCGAAGGGAAGCTACGACCGGCAAAGCAGCAACACCAGTATCGGTACTAGTATCGTGGTATCGAAAGCAGCCTAACCTCCAAGCAGAAACAAACTCTGTATCGTATCGACACAACCCGTATAAAGCGACTTTGCAGTATCGACTAAACCGCCTTACCGGTAATCGACTGGAGCGCAACAAATATCAAAATGGAAAAAAACAAAATGATACTCAAGACTGGCTATCTCTCTCTTTATATACAAAAGGCGAAGAGTGACTACTGATTGATTCTCGTAGTTCCTCTCTTGTTAGTGTAGTGATACGGATACTCCTCTATGCGAATGTTCTGGCTTTCAAAAGACGAGTAAGAGGCGACCGATCTGTCTATTCTTATTCTACCGGTAAGTGAGATAATAAGCCTTTCTCGCCTTACGCAATAGCAGGGAGGGAAATCGAATATGACACTTGACTTGTGACTTTCCTTCAAGCAGGAATAGGAATGAATCCATAAGCTGCTATCGAACCGTCTCTTGCGAGAAGAAGGGTCTTCAAGAGGGTGGAAAAAGGGCTTGTGCAACCAAGAAAACGAATGCGCGGGAACAAGCTTAGGCGAAGGGAATGCGGAATCAGAGCAGCTGTCTAATATGTGACTCAGAGACCGTTTGAAGACCAACCAGCACAAGAATTGAGTTCTAACGGAACTTGACCAACGAGGTGCAGGATCGATAAGCAGCTCCACCAATTCGCAATTTCACTGAAACTGAGAGAATTGACATGGCCAATGGCCCAAAACAAACGAGAAGAAAAGATAGGCTATTAGCGAGAGAAAGAAAAACTCTGACTGGCCTTCTATATTTATGAAAGAGTCGGGATCAAATTATGGTGAGTTATCTCTTTAGAATCTTATAAGAAAACAAATGTCCTTCCGGGGCGACGGCACTCCATTTCAAAGGTGAGAAGCGAAAGGGGTAAGCCCGGACACAGACCGTATAGGGTATTCTACTCAAATAAATAAGTAAGGGAACTCTAGGTGATAAAGAAAGAAAGGAAAGGAGGCGCCTTCAATCGAAAACCGGGGTAGGGGGCAACATCGATTCCTTATTTGATTTCTCAGTATGTGCGCGATCAAAGCCCTTTGGCAAAGAAAGACTAAGCATAAACGGCATTAGGTTCGGAGCGAACCATAGGAAGAAGGGATAAGAGCGGTTAACGCCGATTGACCGAAAGTTGCAGGCGCGGGGACACTCATTAGATTAGTTATGCCATTCTCTATAACAACATAAACAAAAGAGTGACGAGCTATACTATAAAGGAAAGAGCTATTTACCCGAGCTCCACTCCGGGAGAAAGCCCTAAATGCGACAGACACTCCCAGCACCTATTAGTCTTAATGATAGGTTGAGTATTCTATCTTCCCATAACCTAGCCCATTTCAATATAAAGGTCTCATTCAATGCAATTTATAAGCTTTTCCATTAAGCAAGACAAGATGGAACCCCTGTTCGAAATGCAAATCATAGTATTGGAACTAGGGTAAAGCGCTCTTTATGTAAATTGATCTGTAGTAAAGGGCAGGCACATACGCAAAGGAGATTCAATGAAAGAGCTAGGGTTTGAGTAAGCTCCTCCTGAAAAAGATTGGCTTTTCACATCGTTCAAATTGAATTCATTTATGACCTTGAAAGCTTCAATTGGTCTTTTCGAGACCTTCCTCTTAGGAGAGAATAAAGACAAGAAAGAGGATACTCTTTCAACAAGGCTACGAGTTCTGGCATACTTGAGGATGTCCTACTTCTATTTCATCTTTCACCGAACCCTACTGAACTCAATCAATATCCTAAGCTGAATCCTACCTCTAAACCACCAACAGCGGGAGAGCCGACATGAAATGATAGATGTGCAGCGCATTCTGTAAGGCTAACAACGCATTCTCTAACAGGAATAGCAAAGACCCCTTCTTCCTCTTGTATGAGTTTTTAGCC